GTGGAGCCCCCTTGTCGGGCGATCTCGTCCCCGCTGCCGGCGTGGGCGCCTCCGGGAGGGAGGCCGAGCCCCCGCAGGCTTCTGCTCGCCCTTCCCCTCCGTGTGCGCCCTGCGCGCAGCGCTGGTGTGTCCGGAGCTGCGCGCGTCCCGAACAAACTGTTTCTCATAAGTGACTCCGTGAACACGGGTGAACAGGATTTTGTGTGCGCATGTTTTTGATATTCTTGGGCAAGTACCTCGGGGCAGAATGGTTGGATCATGTGGTAACTGTGTTTAACCCTTTAGGAAGCACATAAACTGCTTTCCAAAGTAGTTATCCCACTTTACTTTCTCGCTAGTTGTGTGTGAGGGTTCTGATTTCTCCCTAAAGATAGTGGTTTTCGAATACCTGCTTTTCATCTGCAATTTTCCTGACATTTGTGAATTTCAGATTTATCCTCTGAAAAATGAGAAGTTAATGTGAGAAGAATTTCAAAACTATGGAATGACCTAGTATTATTCTGGGTACACAAGAAGCACTAAATTTGAAGTTACTTTAAAATTATGAAGCTGTGTTCTAAACTTTTAGAAAATTTGAACGATGAAGACACGAAGAAAAATCTGTTATCCATCTGAAAGTCTCTTTATTCTTTCTGCAATTATTTTTTCCCAAAGTTGAGATAATTGCACCCAGCTCTTCAATTTAAAAGTGTTTCTCACTGCCGTAATTTGGTAGCATAGTTTTTAATGATTGGCAGAGATCAGTGAGGTAGAGTTACTTGCTATATTAATAGTTTGATCAAATTGCAGGCCTACTTAAGGAGAACAAGTAATGATTCAGTATAACTTTTTTTTTTTTTTTTTTAATTGTTTTTGGTTTTTGGTTTTTCTCCGGTACCGGGAACCGAACTCACGACCTTGCTCTTGCCAGGCAGGCACTTTGCCGCTGAGCTACATCCCCAGCCCCGATTCAGTATAATTTTTAACACAGTGATTTGTTTATGGTAGTGGAGCGGAGGGAGAGCATTGCTGGACTGTACAGATAGATCTTATCTTGGCTCGTTGGTTTCATTATGTGAAAAATTTTCCTGCTGAGTATTTCATCATTAAGGAAACACATACTTAAGGGACTAAAGGGGCACAAGATTGTGAGACTAACATTTTCATGTAAGACACCATACAGTCCATATTTACTGGGACAAGAAAACTAACAATGGAGAAGTAGAAGAGACTTAAATTTTCATAAATAAGTGTGGGCATGGCTCAGAGCTCAAGAATTGTGAAGGCTTTGGGTTTGATCCCTAGCAGTGGGAGGGGAAGGCATACAAACGATATAAAGCTTATTAGAAATAAAAGACAAATTGGATTGCCTGTGTGCTTTTCTATAATTTTTCTTTATGGTACTAGAAATTGAACCCAGGCCCTTCTCATTGAGTTATATCCCTAGTTCTTTTTAAATTTAATTTTTAATTTGCCCAGGCTGGGCTTGACGTTGCATTCCCCCTGCCTCAGCCTCCCAGAGTGCTGTGATTATAGGTATGTGCCACTGTGCCTGTCTTCTACCATTCTTTGTCAATATTTTTGGGTTCATGGTGCCCTTTTTTTTCTTTTTTTTTTCTTTTTGTCTTTTGAGACAAGGTCTCACTATGCAGTTCAGGCTGGCCTTGAGCTCACTTTGTAGCCCAGGCTGGCCTGGAACTTGCAGTGATCCCCGTTCCTCAGCCTCCCAAGTGCTCATGGTGCCTTTAAGTGGTGGAATGAGGTCCAGTTGGACCTGCAGTGTGGACTGATTGGTTCTGAAAAGCTCACTGGAATGGTTTGATTTTTGTTTGCCCTCTCATCAGTATTTCAGTTTCATTTCTGACTTGGAATAATTGTATTTTGAGGTTAATGAATTTAGATTTTCATAATAATTTGCTTAAGGTCACCTAAAGAGGTCTCAGATCCTTATTAGATACAGTTTTGTAGGAAAATTTAAAGATCTCACTGCTTATTGTGTCTTAGTTTTCTCATTACTGAAACAAAATACCTGACATGTAAAGTTAAGGAAGAAAAAGTTTATTTAGCTCAAGTGTGTAGAGATTTCAGTTCATAATTGGCTGGTTCCAAGGCAGGGCGGTGTAGCAGAGGGGCATCGCAGAAGAGAAACAGTTCATGTGGTCAGCAGGCAGCAAGAGTAGCAAGGAACAAGCTGCAAACCTCTTCCTGTCCCTGAGATCCTGTCCAGGATATCCATCCTTAGGGTGGAGAACACTGACACCCAGGGCAGGGCATCCTTAATCCTAGCATCGTATCCTTGATCCCATCACCACACACACTAGATGTAACTATCCCTGAAAAACCTCACCTATGACCACATAAGGCTTTGGCGAGACATGTAGTTAAAAGCTATAATAGTGTCCCTTTGCTTTGTTGTTGCTGTATTTTTTAAATTTTATGATAGCTACTTGTGTGTTTCTTTCAAGTTATTTTTTTGTGGATGATGCTGTTATATATTCAAAACATATATCACTTTGGGTAGCAGTTGACTTTTCTCGTACCCATGAATGAAGTACTGTAGTATGTGTCATAGAACTTGGGAAAGAATAAACCTCGGTCTCAGTACAAAGAAGTGGAAGAACAAGGTTTGCTTAGAGGATATAAGAATAAGAAAACATAAGAAGCTTTGAGTCTCCAGAGAAATTTTTAAGCTACCCATTATTGGAAAACAGGGTAGAAAAGATCCTTTGTTATGTTGTATAGTTAGAAGGAGTCTGAATTAAACTATAACAGCCAGTACTGTTTTGGACAGACCTGTACAAATTAAACTTAACTTGCATAGGAATATAAACTAGATAAATGAGATGACTTAATTTCTTTAAACTTAATAACATTGCTTTCCTGTGCTAAGTCATCCTTTGATTTAAATAGGAAGGTGTCCTTACTTAAATAATGCTGAATTCAGTTGATTTTAAAAATTGATCCAATATCTGGGCATAGTGATGCACACTTGTAATCCCAGCACTTAGGAGGCAGAGGCGGAAGGATTACCATGAGTTCAAGGCCAGCCTGTGCTGTAGAAGTGAGTTCATGCCTGGCCTGCACTACATAGACTGTTTCAAAAAAAAAAGAATTGATCAAACAAACCAGCTCCGATGTTCTTAGAAAAATGATACCTTCAATAAGATTATTACATTTGCTTTTTCACTTGTGAAGCTTTTAGTGAACAATGAAGAATATGTAGGTTTTGACATACTTATATATAAAAGCATCCACGTTGCTCTTCTGTATCACTGTAATGTTTACCTATCCATCCTTCTTTCCTTCCTTCCTTCCTGTAGTAGTGGCAATTGAACCCAGGCCTCTCACACAAGCTGTCTCCTGCTCTTTTATTTTTTAAATTTTGAGACAAGATTTTGCTAAGTCACTTGAGCTTGACTTTATGATCCTCCTGCCTCAGCCTCCCAGAGTGCACTCATTACAGGCATATACCACCACAGTAGGCTAGGTCTACCCTTTTCT